GCCACCCCGCACGCCGGCCGCCTCGGGGCTCCTCTTTGCCACAGGGCGACGGGGGTTGCGCTTCCCGCCTCGTGGCTGCCGGGGCTCCGATGGTGCTCCCAGGCCTCGCCTCCCCGGGGTAGGGCTTTCGCTCCCCTTGGGGATCCTAGAGGTAGGGTTTGATACGGATGACAGCTCCAAAACGATCCTAAGCCGTTGCTGCTCTGTCAGAGAGCTCTGGCCTTCAGTCCCAAACTGGCGTTGGACCTGACGTCCCAGCCCCTGAAGTGCTGCTCCCCGTTCTGTTTCAACAGCACAAAAAGGTCATGCTCGCGTTCTCCCCAGAGCTATTCCAAGTCACAAATCTGGTACCACTGTAAAGCGGAGAGCCCGTCATCTACATCCTTCAGAAAAAAGTACTGATCACACAAAATTCGACTCTGTTGTTTCAGAGGTGGTAATACCTACTAGATAATCAGAGGAATACTTGTAACAACATTGTTTACGGATCCATTATTTTTTGCCCTTGACTTACCTAACGCAGCTTTGGACAAAATAGAAAACCATATTCCAAAGAGCGAACGTCATCTCACGAGTATCACAGAACTGAATCCTTGAGTCACTCCTGAAATGGACCCATTCGGTCCAGGAGACAAAACTGCATCTCCCATGTGTGGCAGCAGAACAGCCCCTCCTGGCCAAGCGTTACAGCAGGGCTTACGCCACCCTGGCTGACAGGACTCTCTCCAGTTCTGGCAGTATTTTTTTATCTGAGTTAGGCTACAGGGAGGAATTCTCCATGCACTTTTTGAAAAGCCAGTTAATCCTTCTTTATATGTTGTCACCTGGCTCGGGGATCTGTCGACTTCTTTTTCTAGGCGTGATCAGCCAGAAGGCGGCACTAGAGAACAAGTCCAGACAGCTCTTCAGGGCTGTCACTTGTCACCAGGGTATAGAAATCTTAAACTCAGCCTTCATCACATCTCTTTTCCATTGCTGGTAAGCGTCTGTGTCTCTCAACACACACTTAGCTTGCTTTATTATGGGTTTTCATTTACACAGTAGCAGTAGGTACAGAAAACGTTATGATGTCCTCACAGGCATGCGCCAACAAGCAGGAATGCCTCATGGTGTTTGTTAGCTGCAGTGCTATGGAGAAGCAAAACGTTCTGTATTACTGAAAATCTTTTATAGAGGTGAAGAATACAGTCTGCATTTAGTCCATTAGCACTGTATATGAGTTTTCCTTATTATCACAACTACCATCTTTAAAATAATCATGTCTAATGTTGGGGTTTTTGACAGAATTCACCTGAAGTATATTTCAGAGAGAGAGACGTTTGATGTCTGATGTAGGCAAGTCAAAACACATTTCACATCTGTAAAGTACATGGGTTTTTTTTCTTTATTTTACCCAGCTTTCTAAGATAGTAACTTAGAGTTTTTGTTAACTAAATAATCTAATACATTCTATTAAAAAGCACACTGATTTCTACTGTTAAAATTCCTTTTTTTATTTATTCAATACTGCTACACAGTAACATACATGCTGATAGGAAAACATGTTTTAACCTAAGGCAACACCACAGCATGTTATAACGTAATCAACAGATTAGCGTGTTGTAACAAGTTCCTGACTATGGTAAAGCTAATTGTACAGGCAGGTCCTCCCCACAGCTTTCTACGTATGGTTGGGGTTTGCCCATACAAGTAAGACCAAAAGATTTTGTGACACAATTTCTTCATATAAGAGAAACAATAAAAGGGACACTCTGAGTCCAGTGTGGAGAGCAGCGAGTGTGATACTCAACACTGATTTGCACACTTAGATCCCAAGCCTTGACATAAGTGGACTTACTCCTTTCACCTTGGCATAACTTTATGGCATGACCCATCTTGGCTAAAACAAATGGAACAGTTTTGAAAAAGGCACTTACAAGGGCATTGTGTTATTAATATTATTCAGTTCAGCTTAATGTTGTTAAGAGTGTATCAACTTACTTCGGTATTAAACTCTCTGATTGCGCAATATAGAAGACATAGAGCTGTACTCATTTCTCCCAGAACCTTTTACGTGTCTGATCACTTATATGCACTGCAAATTGCGATGGAGGATATTGTTGGAGCGTTTCATGTACGCAATACCAACCAACGTTACTGTACCACTAAGTTCTGTGATACAATTAAGCCTTCAGGGCAATGAATCAGTAGTGTTTTGGAAGGCTACATGAAGACAGGCATCTTTCTCATCTTGCCTTCATGACCTCCCTGTTTCCCAAAGTGGCCGAGGGAGACTGCTGCAGTTCCCAAGACATTTCCATTGGCAAAATGGAGCAGTAGGATAAAGTATCTTAGTTGAATCCCCCACCTTGACACAGTTAGGAGACAGACTGGGACTGTGGCAGGACAGAGCATCTTTCTGTTTGTGGAAGATATCAACAGCATGACCTGCCTCACCGACTGACTGGAAACAGCCTCAGCACCACCCTCTCCCCTCCCTTCTCCCAGTGTTTTAAATCCCAGCATGACTATAGCGGCATGTCAGCACGTACCTGCCATCCCTGAGGTACGATGCTTGTAGTAACACCATGAGCTGCACAGAAAACGCAGCCATCAACAAAAAACCGAGATCTGAACTTACAACGTCCCCAGTCAATGCAGTTTTCCCTAGGAAAAAAAAAGGCTGTTTTCATAAGGGGAGGCGTCTCGCCTTCCCACACAACATCTCACAGTGCAGCAGAAAGGCCGGTTTCACACCCCATACAAACGCAGCATGTCCCACAAAACGGGGCAGACCTCAGAGCCCGCTTTTCGTGGCTTGGCCTCGATAACAAAGCGCCCAGAAACGAAACGAGGAGCCAGGCCAGGCGGGGCGCCAGGCCCACAGGGGGCGGGCAGGGCAGGGCAGGGCAGGGCGGCCTCGGCCCTGCGGAGCGCCCGGCTGGCAGCCGCGGCGGTAGGGGGCTGTGGGTAAGCCCGCGCTCCCTGTGTGCACTCTCCAGGGCCGACCCTGAGGAGCCAGCGCCGGCGGCGTGGATCGGAGGTGACCTGCCTCGCCCTTCTCCTCCTCACACCACCCCCAGGGCCACCCCCGGCTCCGAGGGAGCTCCACGGCGG